GTCAATAATTACTGTTTAGAAGCCGTCATCAGAATTCTAGTTTCCAAGTAATATATACATATACAATTATCTACGGAAGGAGGGCAAGAGTCCAGACCTCCTACACCCCTGCCTTCCTTCTTCCCCTCAGAAAAAGGTGAATGTACGAAAAAATCACCTGCACGTTATGAATGAGGGGAGCGCGCTATCAGTCTTGAACATATCATCTATGTAGTATTAATTTGGATTAAAGGACGCAGAATTTTGCAGTTTTGTACGGAGTCCTCCCTTCCCCCCTCCTTCTCTTTACCCCTTTATTAAATCGTTTGTTCCTAAACTTTACGTATCTGACAGATGCACGAAACTTACAATTTCTCGTGCGTACGTGCGTCATGCTTGCGTTAACGTAGCTACAACAGAAACCTATTGCAGAAACGTCAACGACGAGGCGACAATACTTGGACGACGACGACGTCGACGCAACGGATTCGTTACGCGGCGGTGACTACGGCGGTAAGCGACGAACGACGAAGCAGCGACAGCGACCCCGCCCTCAAGTGGTTGTGCAGCACATTTTACGACTTCTATTGCATCGTCTCGTCATAACGCCAGCTCGAACGATGAACGCTCGCATGTCGCGACTGCGACGATCGTTGTCGCGTTCCGTTCATCAGCTCAGTTTGTCGCGTTCAAATAGCCTTAATGGGTTAATTGAACTACCTACAAGCAGCTATACTACATTAGTGGATAAATTTGCTGTAAGTTCGCTTCCCATCATTGATTTATTGATTTATTCCTTAAATATCTAACCTCTCTGCTGCTCTCTCATCCTCTATTTACACTATGACAAATCAGCATAGTTGATATCCCGAACGGGCCTCTGACAGGTGTTCGATCTTCCATGAAAAAATCGATTTTTTCTATTTTGAGGGTATTTTTGTGCACTTAGCAATGTTTATATTGCACAGTTCCATAGAAACTCGATCACTTTGGCCTTGTAAGGGAAAAGCCATCAAATGGTTCGTCTCTTTGATGCATGTCAAGCTGGGCTTAACCCAGTTGAAATCGGCTTAGCTAAAGACCGGAAAGAAAGATAAAACTGAGAAAAACAATTTTTGAAGCCTTAAACATACGTCCGCTAATGTTTATTGATGTTTTTAGATGAAAAATGCAATGTTTTTTAGCCAATTTCATTTTAATTAGGCTCATTCACTCATTCAATCTTGATTTCCATTCTGTGCTTCATTCTGGAAAAAGCAGAAGTAATTATTATGATATCCACAGAGATCCTAAGAACATTTTCCTATCTTCTAAACAAAATTTCTTTAAAAAACCTTCTATTTCTGTTATTTTCTCATTTTTTTTTCTTCGATAATAGTTATCTTTTATGTATAAGACTGCTATTTTTTGTCTTTCTTTGTCCACTTTCTTGTTTTCAAAGAGCATAATCTTATGAATAATTGGTTATTGTGTTATTGAAAAGAATTGCTACAGCACTATGCTATTAGTGTAGTACTTAATACAGCTAATATAATATGACTTGCCAAGTGTAGATTGTTTGTGTATAAGTAGTCATTCTTTGAAATTTTTTTTTGTTTTTGATTTTTTGTGGAGGGGGTCTCCAGTATTTCTTAATCATCTAGGCAAAAAAAATCTTATGGGCAAAATCTCTTTGACCCTATACTTTAAACTCTGTTCATTGGTCTGGCTCTACGTTTATGTAGTATGGCTGAGACGAGGAACGGGTTTGAACATAGTGTTTCAATTTGTTTGGAAGGAGGAACCTGTCGGAATGCTTTTGCGTTGTTCAAATATATCTGAAATTGTTTGAAGGAATTTGGTTATTGAAATAATTATATTCTATTAG